ATCTGACAGAAGGGAAATATGCTTTGGGGAGGAGGAGGAGGAGGAGGAAATTGGATTTATACCCCACCCTTCACTACCCAAAGGCGTCTCAGAGCGGCTTACAATCTCCTTTCCCTTCCCCTCCCCACAACAGACACCCTGTGAGGTAGGTGGGGCTGAAAGAGCTCTCTAGAGAACTGCTCATGAGATAAAAGCCTTGAAAGAACTTGTAGCTGACCCAAGGTCACACCAGCAGCTGCATGTGGAGGAGTGGGGACTCAAACCCGGCTCTCCCAGATTAGAGTCCGAGCTCCTAACCACTGCCGTAAATGGGCTCTTTTTTTGCCAGCTTTTCTTGCAAGCGAGGATTCTTCTCATCTGTTTCAAAGGCCATACAGAGGGGAGGGTGTAAACCCAGGAAGGGGGGGGGCTTGTATGAATGGATTTTCCTCCATCCGTGTATCTATTTCTAAACCATGACATAGAGGAAGTGATCGAGAGAGCTGCAAAATGGAGCTAGGGACAGACTGGGGGAGGTGGATTTCACTACAAACCTGAAGGAAGTCCCAAGGTTGCAGAAAAGTCTGAAATCTTTCCTTTTCAAAATGGGAGGCTTAAAACTCCTCAAAATTACAGAAACAACACTGATAGCATGAAGAAAAGAATGCCCACAGAACTCTCAGTGGCTGTTGGAGGTTGCTAGGCAACCACAATACAGCCAAGCCTTCCAAGCCTTGGTTTACGCGCAGCAAAGCTCTTGTATAGCCATTGTTTTATCTTCGTTGTGAGCTGCCCTGAGCTCATCATGGGATAGGGCGGGACACAAATGCAATAATAATTCGAGGGGGAGTAGGAGTGGACCAGGAGGCCAAAAGAGCCCTAGGAAAGGTCCCACCTCCCTCCATTGTCAAGTCTCCTGTTGGAGGAGGACTTGCCAGGGACAGGGACAGCGGTGACTACCAGAAACTCCCTATCTACACAACTTGGTCTGGCACAGCATACACTGTGCAACGCAGCCTGGTCTGGCCTTGCCCAGCCGCAGCCACCATGCCTCTGGCCTGGCCACACTTCCAGCCTGGGCCACAGCCATACAGCCCAGCCAAGGAGACACTGTCAGCGTAGGGAAAAAAAAAAAGAAGACACAGGGTGGGGACGGGAGACAGGTAGGCTGGCTGGCTGGTAGGTGGGAAGGAACGAAGGAAGCAGGCCTGGCAGTGGCAGGCTACCGGGCTCAACCCTGCATTAGCAGCCACTGCACAAGTTGGCCAGATTTTTCCCAGGGGGAGGCTGTCAGGGAAAGCTGGGGGCGGGGGGCAGATAAAGGTAATTTGGCTGGTGGGCAGGAAAGGAGAGAAGGAAGCAGGGACAAGGGAGACGGTGCGGGGGCTGCCAGGGAAGCAAAAGAGGAAATAACGGTGATGAGGGAATACAGGTGGAAATGAGATGCCCCCCACAAGTCCTTGCAGGCTCCCCACTTGTACTACGCATATTCCCTATACACAGATGGCATTCACACATCATCATTCTGTATATTCCCGATGGGCACGAACCGAACTTGTTAGCCACGCTTGCACGCTTCCTGCCCTCTTCTCCTCACCTGCAGAGCACAGTTGAAAGCTTCCTGGTTTGGAAAACAACCTGGAGCTCATTTCCTCCCCGTGAACCTTTTCAAATCTAGGCTTGTGGCACAAGCTTCAAGGAAACAAGCTTCAGTCTGCCCCGGCGTCTGGATGTGGATGTTGTGTCAAACGGAAAGTGTATCAAAGGCTTACCAAACCAGGAATGTTTTCATTGAACTCTGCGTGCAAAGATGTCCGTGTGTGTGTGTGTGTGTGTGTGTAGAGAGAGCCGTGTTCCCTCTAAGCTCACCGTTTTTCAGCCCCCGGCTCACACGTTTTAGTCTCCGCTCAGGAAGGAGGGCTCCAGAGCCAACTGATGTATGCAGCAGCCAAATCGCTCGCTCACATTGTTAATGCCGGCAGTTCACAAAGTAGAATTTTTGCTCACAAGACTCCATGGCTTAGAGGTAGCGCACAGCAAAAAAAGGCATATGAAGATCCTGAGTTTGGGCCTGATGTTTGAACACAGCCTGCGAAGGAAACAATCCTATTGAGAAGACTTCTCTACCCTCGCCATGCAGCGCCCCATTGAGATCAGGCCCATGGTACAGAGACCGTAGGGATGCCTACTCCAGGCTGGGAAATCCCCGGAGATTTGGGGGGCTGAAGCCTGGGAAGAGTGGGGCTTGGGGGAAGGAGGGACCTCCGCGAGGCACAGCGCCACGGAGCCCGCCCTCCAAAGCAGCCATTTTCTCCGAGGGGAACTGATTTCTATAGTGTTTTAATTCCAGGTGATCTCCGGGCTTCACCTGGAGGTTGGCAACGCTAGGGGGGTCGGGCCCTTCCGCCGCAGGTGGTCTCACCCGTTCAAATTGTCCCCCTCGGCTGGTATTAGCCTTGGAAGGAGAAAAAGACATGCACCGAAGGGGGATGCTCCTTCCAACTGGCAAAAGACACCCCGGATCGTCTGTTATTCTGCCCCTGGAGTTAGGGTGGACAGCTTTGGTTGGAGAAATACCTGGAGATTTTGGGGGTGGAGCCCGGGGAGGGAGGGGTTTGGGGAGGGGGGGGAGACCTCAGCAAGATATAAGGCCACACAGTTCGGACTCCAGGGCAGCCATTTTCTCCAGGGGGACTGGCCTTGATAATCTGGAGATCAACTGTAGTCGTGGGAGATCTCCAGTTGCCACCTGGATGTTGGCCACCCTAATTGTAGCTTATCTTTGGGGGGGGGGGAGCCCATACTGTCAAGTTTTCATCTCCTCCAGGACAGCCAGTTTGGTGGAGTAGTTAGGAGCGTGGACTCTGATCTGGGAGAGCCGGGTTTGATTCCCCACGCCTCCACATGCAGCTGCTAGTGTAACCTTGGGCCAGTCACAAGTTCTCTCAGAGCTGTTCTCTCACAAGCAGTTCTCGAGAGAGCTCTCTCAGCCCCACCGACCTCCCAGGGTGTCTGCTGTGGGGAGGGGGAGGGAAAGGAGACTGTAAGCTGCTCTGAGACTCCGAGTGAAGGGCGGGGTACAAATCCAATCCTTCTTCCTCTCCTCCTTCCTCCAAAGAGCTCGGGGCTGTGTAAATGGTGCGCCTCTTCTCCCGATGATCTCGCAGCAACCACTCTGTGAGGTCAGTTAGGCTGAGAGGAGAGGCCTGAGGCCACCCGGACGGAGAACTTCCTGCCTGAACTCAAGTCTCCAGAGACACACACACACCCTTACACTTTTAACCTCCTTGCCAGACCTGGCCCTTGCCTGCTGCGCTTTGGCCTTCAAGAGGAGAGCCAGGTCAAAAACTCCAGTCCTTGACCCAGCCTGGGCCTCCGTGACCAAGGAAGACATTTAAGGCGGTCCCAGTTTGGGGGCTTTTCTGCATTAGGTCTGAGTTAATGTGGTTGTCTCCGGGGATCATTTTGAGGAGTCCTATTGTTTATATCTGGTGCTGAGCCTACAACTGGCTAGCCAGGCAGGATACAATTTCAGAAGACAAACGACCTTTCTTTCAAGGTCCCCAACCCTACAGCTGCTTGCGTTCAGCGGGAGAGAAGTACAAGCTTTTGGAAAGACTCGAGCCAGCTTGCACAACAGCCCCGCAAATCCCAGTCCCAATCAATGCTCCCTCTAAGCTGTGGGGCCTTGTGAGCAAAAATTCTACTTTGTGAGCGACTGGCACTAAAGTGGTGAGTGAGCGATATGGCTGCTGCATCGATGAATTCGCTCTGGAGCCCTCCTTCCTGAGCCAAGACAAAAATGTGTGAGCCGGAGGCTAAGAAACTGTGAGCTAGCTCGCACTAACTCAACTTAGAGGGAACACTGGACTCCCAATACGACCAAACCATTCCCTTGTCATAACTCGCCTTTGCAAACAAAGTAGGGTTGCCAACATCGAGGTGGTGCCTGGAATCACAACTACAGGGATGAGTTCCCCGGGAGAAAATGGCTGCTTTGGAGGGTGGACTCTACGGCATTCTACCCACTTAGGTCCCTCCCCTCCCCAAACCCCGCCCTTCTCAAGCTCCACCCCCAAAATCCCCAGGAATGTCCTAACCCAGAGGCGGCAACTGGAAAATACGGCTACAGTCTTGCCCATACCTACCTCGACCTAAGCCCTGCTAACTAAAGGGGGACCTCTGAATTCATGCGCACGCTCTGCATCTGCTAGAAGAAGAAGCCCGCACAAGTGTTTAGGAGTTTACTCTAACCTATCCTTTCACTGTTCCAGTTTTTGGCCTTAAAGGGGGGGGGACCCCCTCCCGTCCCCAAAAAGCTACTTTTACAAACCTGACTTGACTGCTCACTTGGAGTTTCAATATTAATTCAGAATATATATACAATTTTATATCAACGCACATACAAGGCGTTGTTCTAAGTAGGGTTGCCAACCCCAGGTTGGGAAATTCCTGGAGATTTGAGGGTGGAGCCTGGGGGGGCGGTGAAGTTTCGGGGGAGATGGAACCTCAGTCAGGTATAAAGCCACGGAGTCCTCCCTCCAAAACAGCCGTTTCCTCCAGGGGGGCTGATCTTCATATTCTGAAGAGCAGTTGGTCCAGAGGAGTTAGCTGTGTTAGCCCATTGCTGCAAAACAGTAAAAAGCCCAGTAGCACCTTTAAGACGAACAAACTTTATTGTGGCATAAGCTTTCGAGGAATCTGATGAAGAGAGCTGTGTTTCTCAAAAGCTTCTGCTACAATAAAGTTTGTTCGTCTTCAAGGTGCTAGGGGGCTTTTTACTGTTTTGAAGATCCGTTGTCGTTCAGAAGATCTCCAGGCCCCGTGTGGAGGTTGGCAACCCAAGTTCTAAGTCAACAGGGCTGGGAACAGCTGGACTTGGGAGGATCAGGCTCAGACCCCACAAACCCACTTTAGGAAGGGAGCGGACAGGGGATCCGCCGGCTCGTCCCTTTGGACTCTTCCCCCAGGGGAGGCAAATTCAGCCCGGTGTTTTTCCGATGGATGTCTGGAAAGGATACAGCGTAGGCCGCGTGCTTCCATCCGTGCGGGAGAAGAGGGATGTAGATGCCGAAGCCCACGATGGCCAGGTAGGCGAAGAGCCCCAGGGTGACCACCTGGAAGGAGTGGAGGGGCAACGACCAGCCGTTCACTCGGGAGTGCAGGGGGGCCAGGGGGTGGCCATTGTGCCCGCTCAGCTCCTCGGGTCCTGTCCGCCGCCACTTCTCATCCAAGCAGATCATCTGCAAGATAGAGACCCAAACCCCTCCGTGAAAAACAAAAATGGCCGCTGCCCCTGACGGACCTACAGAACCCCACCTGTGGCGTGTGGTAGAAGAAGAAGAAAAGAGATTGGATTTACACCCCGCCCTTCACTACCCAAAGGAGTCTCAGAGCGGCTTACAAACTCCTTTTCCCTTCCCCTCCCCACAACAGACACCCTGTGAGGTCGGTGGGGCTGAGAGAGCTCTGACAGAAAGTTCTCTTTTTTTCAAGAACAGCTCTTGTCAGAACTACGGCTTGCCCAAGGTCATCCAGCAGCTGTAAGTGGAGGAGTGGGGAATCAAACCCGGCTCTCCCAGATTAGAGTCTGCGCGCTTAACGGCTACACCAAACTGGAAAGCGAGGCACAGGCCCCCTGCCTCACCCATTCACAAAGGTCCCTAGGAGGCACTGCGTTGCTTCGCTGTCTCATCTGCCCCAGCACGATTGAACACAAAGGAACTGACTTACCTGCATTCGCTGACGAGCGGAGGAGGTCACGTTTATCTAGCCTCTAAGACAAAAGTCTTCCAGCCTTTAAAGGGAGGGGGAATCACAGGGGTAATTTCCTGCGGGAGCACACAGGAGCGGAGGAAGCTCCACCCCCTGCTCCCAGCAGCCCTCAATTGGGCCACGAGGAGCAAGAAGCAGCCAGGTAAGTTGCAGAGCCCCCCCCCCAGCCTGCCTTCAGGTACAAGCTCTCCCTCCTCTGTGAGGGCAGATCTGCATGTCCCCCCCCCCCATAGCTAGCAATCCAAAACAGTCCAGTGGAGCCTGAGTGGTGGGTGTTGCCTTCTGACACACTTCCGGTGATGTCAGGGGGTGTGGCATATGCAAATAAGTTATGCTAATAAGTTATGCTAATGAGCTCCTGCACCTATTTTTCTACGAAATGACCCCTGGGGAATCATCATGTCCTATAAGGGGCTGACGAGCCCTGCACAGGCCCAGAGGTTTAAAGAGAGTCGAGTTCAGGTCCCTCGTGGCAACCGGCGGGGGAATGGGGGGGACTTACCGGGAGCAGCAGGGAGGCCCATTCGACATACAGTGACGTGTCCATGTCACTGCCCACATGACCCAGAAGTGATGTCATCATGTCCAGGATGTTGGGGGAAACTGTGGTATTTGGGCAAAAACTCTATGGTAGATTTGGTTTCTACCACAGAGTTTCCCCCAAATACTAAAGTGTCGCCCCAACGTCCCAGATGCGATGACATCACTCCTGGGTCATGTGGACAGACGCAGACAAGTCACTGCATGTTGAATAGATCTCCCTCTTTTTCGGGCTAAGTCCCCCCCTCCCCGCCAGTGGGGAGGTGAGGCCTGGCAGTGGGGGACCCCTTCCTCCACCGGGGGTGTGTGTGTCTAGCAACCCTAAAAGAGAGTGTCCTGAGATGATGAGACACAGCTCCGTGGAAGGACTGTCAACGATTCCTTCCAAGGCTACGCTGAAGAAGGATTTACCTTTTTTGGGTGTGGGTGCATCTTTGGAATTTTGACACAGTGTGATGGGCACACCCCAAAACGGCCACCACAGTAAGCAGAACCAGCCACAAAATGGCTGCCGTGGCTCACCTTCAGTCACACAGTGAAGATCCTTGGGCTGTGCTGCTGCCAGACCAGGGCTTTGCCAGATCTGCATAGCTAGTCAAATGACCGAGGGCCAACCGGAAGCCTTGCTGTGGAAAAGCCCCACCCGGCCCCACCCACTTTCCCAAACACTTGGAGGGCGCCAGGCAAGGCATCCACGAACACCACATTGGGGGTGGGGGGCTGCTTTAAACTGTCCTGAAGGATTCCTGCTTTACTCACAAAAACAGCAGCAGGATGCTGCAGGGATGTTAACAGTATAAACAGAAATCTGAAAGGCAAGGAGAAGGAGAAGAAGAGATTGGATTTATACCCAGCCCTTCACTCAGAGCGGCTTACAAGCTCCTTTCCCTCCCCCTCCCCACAACAGACACCCTGTGAGGTAGGTGGGGCTGAGAGAGCTCTTCCAAGGACTGCTCTTGAGAGAACAGCTCTGACAGAACTGTGGGTTGCCCAAGGTCATCCAGCAGCTGCATGTGTAGGAGTGGGGAATCAAACCTGGTTCTCCCAGGTTAGAGTCTGCGCACTTAACCACTACCCCAAACTTAACCACTACACCAAACTGGCAACACAAATCTTGCCGCTAGAGGAGGCCCAAGAGTGTCCTCATCACTTACGCATTACTCAAAAGTAGTGCCTGAGCGTTCTCAAAGAGTTTCACATACGAAGAGCCTCACGACCACCCCATAAGGTAAGTCAGAGTTGTCCCCACAAGGTGGGGAACCACGAGAAAAACCCCTGTCCCAAGAGGTCCCTCTTCAGGATTCCATAAGCTCCAGGGGTTGGAGAAAGCCAATTGGACCAACTCCCACATTTGATTAATTTTTAACTGGCTCCTAATTGGTGCAACCAATCAAAATCCAAGCCAAGCAAGCCCATTGGTTAACCTCAGAAGGGGAACTAACTCACCTGAAATCTTTGGGATACAAACTGCTAGGCTGGACAAGTACCTCATTGACATGTAGGGAGGGTTCTCCCCATGGAACACACATTCAGTTGGTCAACTGATATCATAAAACAAACAAAGCGTCAAACATGTTTCGGCTTTCACCTTCCTCAATGGTACAATACCTGTTGTCAAGCTGCAGGCTTCAGATGAATACAACAGACATCAGATAATCACCATATACAACTGTATCCACAAACGTCTCATACATCAGAAAATGTCCTCTTGTTCAGTAGATATTGTAGCTGAGTTGGAAGTAAAGAGACTGCTTAAAGTCTACATTTACAACAAGGCTTTTTAAATAATATATGAGATGCAAGGCATGTAACCAGGCCAAAAGGGACAAGAAAATATTTCACAGAATCATAGAATAATAGAGTTGGAAGGGACCTCCAGGGTCATCTAGTCCAACCCCCTGCGCAAGGCAGGAAAGTTACAAATACCTCCCCCTCCCCACCCTCAGTGACTGCTGTTCCACACCCAGAAGATGACAAAAAATCTCCAGGATCCCCGGTCAAACTGGCCTGGAGAAAAATTGCTTCTTTAGTCTTTAAATCTTTGGTTTCTATCTCTGCTGGGAATAGCAGAGTCAACTCAAACTGTGATCACAGCTGTGTGACTCTGGCGGGGAACTGTGAGAAAAGCTGAACTGTGACAGCGAGAAAGTGCCTTACAAGCGCTTTTAAAAGTCAACAGTTGCGGAGGAAGATCCAGCGAAGAGAATGGCAGCGTTTAAAAGTGAAACTGGAATTTTTTAAAAAAGAAAATCCATTCTCAGAGCTAGAGATCTTTTGAAAGGGCATGAAAGAGCATGAAAGAGTGAAGATTTACAGTATATGAAATGGAAGCGTTAACAGCAACCCGGAGGAGGACTGGAAAAGCCGGAGAGAGGGAAACAGAAGAAGCCCCTCCATGAAATCGGGAATTTAAAAGAAGCCAGCACGCGAAGGAATGGTTCTGAATGCGCCTTGAGGAAACTTTAACTAACAGAGCATCGAATGAACACTACTAATACACTAACATAGATAACACCTTTAACTGGTTTGAAGAAAGAAGTTTGACTGCACACAGAAGAAGCCTAAGAAGATAATTTGGACATTACTAACAGATTAATTTACAAGTTAATATATCACTCAGCTTTCTCTTTCTCCCACTATATACCCTCCCTATTTTTCTATTTAAGCGAAATACCTCTCCTTTTTATTTTTTTAAAAAAAAACTGTGATCACATCTGCTTATTGTCTCCCCGTGTCAAAAGCCGCCCCTTCTGGAGCATTGCCAGACATTCTTATCAATCAATCAATCAATCAATCAATCAATCGACCTTTAATGGCATATACAACATCAGACATTCTTATCAAGTATGAGGATGTACAACAAAAGAGACGGCTGTTTCAACTCGCCGAAGAAAAAACGTTTACAGCTCGGGGACACTATTGTTTTTCTGCATGCAAATCTGCCTCCAGAAATCCTAGCAGCAAGAAGACGTATGTGGGAGGTTGCTGTTAAGCTATCTGATAAAGGCGTCAAATTCCGATGGCGACCTTTAGGACATACCTGTGTTCAATCGGATAACAAAACTTTTACAGCCTTCGAGGAGGCATCTGTAAAAAAGCTTTTGGCTGTGTGTGTAAAGCCGTAAGAAATGTTTAGCAAAGGCTATGTGGTAACCCATAGAAATATGAGACATCTAAGATTTAATTGAAGGAGCAGCTCTAAGCAACTAAACTCATTTATTTAATCAAATAGTAATATGGAATATGGAAAGCGACTATGATTTGCAATTTAGCTTATAACTAAACAACACCTTTTATTAAAACGGTATATAACAGATAAGTGATCAGGTTTACAGTATAAAGGGATAGGAAGGCAATTAAGTTGTTTTAACTTTAAACAGTGGGCATAATGAGGGGGGAGGGGGAGTGCCCCCCCCCGCAAGCCTTCTCACAGGAGGAGGAAAGGCTGAATTCCTTTCTGCCGAGTTTTCGGTCCCAGGAACGAGAGGCAGCCCCATTTGGTTTTCTTTTTTAGGTGAAGTTGGCCTTTCTGAAGAATAAATTGGAAGTATCTAATAGTAAATAGTTAACTGAAGAATTCCAGTGTTATGTTAATATATGTATTGTAACCAGGGGTCATTTCTTAGAAAAAGAGGTGCAGAGGCTCATTAGCATAACATTTGCATATGCCACACCCCCTGACAGCACCAGAAGTGTGTCAGAAGGCAACACCCACCACTCAGGCTCCACTGGACTCTTTTGGATTGCTAGCTACTGGGGCCGGGGGGCCGGGGGGAGCTCTGCAACTTACCTGGCTGTTTCTTGCCCTGACTGAGGGCTTCTGGGAGCAGGGGGTGGGGCTTGTTGCATGCGCTCGCCCCCCTGGGCTCTTTACTGCCGGAGCTCTGCTCCTGTGCGCTCCTGCAGGAAATTACCCCGATTGTAACTAATATGAGTATGGAAGAAGAACTTAGGAAACTGAATGGCATTAAATGTAACGGGTGGCACAAGATAATAGGATTTCAGAATAGGAAGTAATTCTTGTTTAGTAATTAGGTATAATAGGAGTTAGTGGATGAGCCGGAGAATACTTTCTATTAATAAAGGGGGTGAATAATATAATAGATTGTTAGAAAATTAATATTTTGTATTATTGTTCACTATAAAAATTAATAACCTGTGAATGGGGAAAAAGAAGAAAAATTGCTTCCTGACCCTAAAGCAGAATCAGCATTTCCCTGGGCATGTAAGAAAGTGCCATGAGAACTGAGAACTAAGGCGACCCTTCCTGCCCTCCCTCTCATGATCTGCCTAAGTTCACAGAATCAGCATTGCTGTCATCTAGCCTCTGTTTGGAAACCTCCCAAGAAGGAGAGCCCACCACCTCCCGAGGAAGCCTGTTCCACTGAGGAACTGCTCTGTCAGGAAATTCTTCCTAACGTTGAGCTGAAAAATCTTCTGATTTAATTTCAACCCGTTGGTTCTGGTCTGACCTTCTGGAGCAACAGGCAACAACTCCTACCATCCTCTATTTTATTTATTTATTTTTCGCATTTATATCCTGCCCATCCCGTAAGTGGGCTCAAGGTGGGTTACAACATTTCCATAAATACAATAAAATCTTAACAACACATTATAAGCATATAAAATCAGTAGTCGCAGCCTAACGTAGGGAGAGTCTGGCCCACTGATGTTGGTGGGTATGGGCGGTGATCAGTAGGTGGACACCCGCTGCCTCAGCCAAAAGTCTGGCGGAAGAGCTCCATCTTGCAGGCCCTGCAGAATTGAATAAGATCCCGCAGGGCCCTGATCTCAGTGGGGAGCGTGTTCCACCAGGTGGGGGCCAGGGCAGTTCATCTCTTCCCTTGAAAACCCTACAGGGTTGCCGTAAGTCAGCTACCACTTAATGGCACTTTCCACCGTCACCAAATCCATCTACTGTGAGTCAACTGCCTAAAAGCCAAGAAGAGAAGAAGAGGGAAGGGACTGGATTTATACCCCGCCCTTCACTACCCAAAGGAGTCTCAGAGTGGCTTGCAATCCCCTTTCCCTCCCCCTCCCCACAACAGACACCCTGTGAGGGAGGTGGGGCTGAGAGAGCTCTTCAGAGAACTTGTGACTGACTCAGGGCTCTTTTTGTAGAAAAAGCCCAGGAGGAACTCATTAGCATAATAGGCCACACCCAACACCAGAAACACATTAGCATATTAGGCCACACCCCTGACAGAACAGCTCATTAGCACATTAGGCCGCACCCCCATTTTACCAGAAGTGTGGTTATCCAGCCACACCCACCTTTTGCTTGTTATTCTGTTTACCTTGTTTGTTGTCCAAACCCAGGGCCTTTTTTTGTAACAGGAACTCCTTTGCATGTTAGGCCACACACCCCTAATGTAGCCAGTCCTAATGAGTTCCTGCTGTTGGGTGTGGCCTATTATGCTAATGAGTTCCTGCTGGGCGTGGCCAACTTGGGAGCCAGCCGGAACTCCGTTCCTGTGCGTTCCTGCCCAAAAATAGCCCTGCCCAAGGTCACACCAGCAGCTGCATGTGGAGGAGTGGGGAATCAAACCTGGTTCTCCCAGATCAGAGTCCACGCTCCTAACCACGACACCAAACTGGGTCTCTCACTGGGCCCCGGTTTGCTTCCAAAGTGTCTGGCCAAGGACAGTCTGCTTCTCTCCCCTTTCATTTGCTACCACACAAACAGCCTCTCAGGTCGATGCTGCATTTGGGGGGGGGGGGCCACAAGTCAAAAAGACTGCCCCACCCCGGCTATCCCCGTCTCGTCAGATCGGGGAAGCTCATCAGGGTCAGCCTTGATTCGTATTTGGATGGGAGACCGCCAAGAGAGTCCAGGGTTGCTACGCAGAGGCAGGAAATGGCAAAGCGCCCCTGAACGCCTCTGGCCTTGAAAACCCTCTGGGGTCGCCACAAGTCAGCTGCAACTTGACGGCCCTTCCTGCCACCAGCCCTGGTCTGAGTCTGTTCTGGTGGCGGCTTCTCTGGTGCCAGCACAGTTTCCACAGCCCCACTCTGCTTTCCCTTTCTGTGCCGCTAGGTCCTCTGTGAGCGCCTGTTGTCCTCAGGACTGTGAAGGGTAGACGGAGGCCAGCAAGGGGAGAGAGTGACCGGGCAAAATCCAAACATTCAGCACGCGTGTACGTCACACACAGCAGCCTGCACTGTCCCTGGGAGTCCAGCTGAGAACCTGGTGCAGGAACAGCAGCTATGCTGTCTGCTGGAAGAGCCCACTAACAGAGCTCACTTCGTAAGACTGACTTCCAAGTAGACATCTCCAGTGCTTTCTCATCCAACGTTAACTCGGGCCTCTTACGCGGCTCTTGGCACATCTCAACACAGCACAAGAGCCACTGATCAGTGTCAGAAGTCAAGTGTGAAGCATCCATGCCTGGACCGCACTGACGTCACAGGGATTTACTTCAGAGAAAACCTGCATTGGATATGATCTGCATAACAGAACAACGCAAAAAAAAGAAAGAAGAAGAAGCGGGCTCAGCC